GTAGTAGTAGTAGTAGTAGTAGTAGTAGTAGTAGTAGTAGTAGTAGTAGTAGTCGTAGTAGTAGTAGTAGTAGTAGTAGTAGTAGTAGTAGTAGTAGTAGTAGCAGTAGTAGGAGCACGAGTAGGAGTAGGAGTAAAAGTAGGAGTAGGAGTCGAAATAGTTTGGGTTGGTGTAGGAGTAGGAGTAGGAGTAGGAGTAGGAGTAGGAGTGGGTGTCGACGGCGAAGTGTGCCAGGAGCGACGACGACGGCGAAGTGCCTTGCCGGCGGCAGCGCACGCGGCTGGCGGCAGCATCTAGGGGTTGCCAAACGCGTCCTTGGCCCCAGGTGCCCTGGCCCCAGGTGTCCCTATCTTTTCGCGCCATTTGGGCCCCCCTGTGGCCCTGCGGAGCTCTCGCGGGGTGACCTAGAGGCCACGGAGGCCTTCTTGGCAATCCTGGGGGCACCCTGGTCCAGGGACACCTGTGGCAACAACCGTAGCATAGGCGACCATCGAGCTCTACACGTCTATCTCTGGCGGGATGCTGCCGACTCCCAGCAAGCCCCACTACACGTTCAACCTCCGGGATCTCTCGAAGGTCCGCAGCGGGGGGGCTCCTCGCTTCTACTCCCTCCTCCCTCCTCTTCCTGCCTGCACTCTTCCCCCTTGCTTTCCGCACTGTCGTTTCTAGCGCTTCGCGCCGTCCGCCGCCCTCTCGGTCCTGTGCGTTGGGCCGCCTGGGCTGGGCCTCCCTTCGCTGGGGAGGGTGGCGGCCGCAACAAGCTCTCGGAGTGAGAGTCTTCAGCAGGACGGCGCGCAGACTGCTGCAATGCGGAGTCCGACCGACCGACTTTCTCCATCCCCGTTCCTTAACATACGTTTCCTTCTCGTCGCACCTCTGGAGGCGTCGGCAGGGCGGGCTGGGCGTAGCGCCTCGGACTTCATCACCATATCTGATCCTGAAGTTTGGGACTCAACAGTTGTACAAGTGGATGGGTGGTGGTATTCAAAATGGAGGTCTCGCTTTATCGCCACGCGCATTCGTGGGAATAGTTTGCAAGCGTTACAAGGATAGAGAGATGATAGTTTTCAAAATGAGGCTTGCCTCAGCGCCGTGCACTTTCCCCCAAACAGTTTCACCAGTTACAAGGAAGGAGGGCTGCTCCTTTTCAAAATGGGGCCCTCGCCTCAGCGACACGCACATTCAATGGGATGTAGGACGGCGCTCCTGTTCAAAATGGGGCTCTCGCTGAATCGTTCCATAGATCCAGCTGCCTGCGTCAAGTCACGCCACCGTGCTAGCCCAACATTTCCGACGGCGACTGATCGAGGGGGCACGGGAGTTTGTTGCGTGTGTCAGTTCGTGTCTTCAGGTTTGAGAGAGCCGTGATGATGCTGCTGATGATGATCTGATGCTGATGCTATGATGCCGATGATATGATGATGCAGATGATCATGATACTGATGATGGCAATGATGATGCTGATGATGATTATGATGATGATGATGATGCTGATGCTGATGCTGATGCTGCTGTTGATGTTGTTGATGATGATGATGATGATGATGGGGATGCTGCTGCTCCTGCCGGTGATGATGCTGATGATGCTGATGATGATGGCGATGTTGATGACGACGATGATACTTTCTGATGACAATAATGCTCCTGCTGATGATGATGAGGATGATGCTGATGATGTTGATTATGATGATGCCGCTGTTGCTGCTGATGATGATGATGATGGTGATGATGCTGATGATGAGCTGATGATGCTGATAATGCTGCTGCTGATGATGATGATGCTGCTGATGATGATGCTGATTACGATGCTGATGATGATCATGATGCTGCTGATCATGATGATGCTGATGATGTTGTTGATGATGCTGATGATGATGATGATGATGATGATGATGGTGGTGGTGATGCTGATGCTAATGCTGATGATGATGCTGCTGACGAAAATGATGGTGATGATGCCGCTGCTGCTGATGATGCTGCTGCTGCTGATGCTGCTGATGCTGATGCTGATGCTGATGCTGATGATGATGATGATGATGATGATGATGATGATGATGATGATGATGATGATGATGATGATGCCTAGGATGAGGATGAGGAAGAGGATGAGGAAGAGGAAGAGGAGGAGGCTTCCGAGGCTTCCCAGAACGACGAGGGGCTGCGAGATCAAGGCACCAGGCCAGTTAATCATACTCGTTAACAAGACCCCAAAGCATCAACACTGCGAGCAACTTGGAACAGGCTTGTGACACCCATGTTTTTTGTTCTCGCCAAAATGGGCCCTCCCCTGGAGAAGGTACTTCTTCTTAAGTGCCTGGGGAACCCAAGGGGGGGCTTCCTACGCAAGGTCGAGCTGTCATATTCGCTCTAGACACGCATCGAGCAGTACAATCTTCACACCAAACCGCTGGGCCCGTCTGCCAGAGGCGGTGCGAGCAGTGTGCTTCTCGGACCCCCTTTGGGGTTCACAACACTCCAGCTTCAAAATATCACACCGTCGAGCAGGGCTACCTTCACACCTCTCGCGGACCCGTCTTCCTCGAAACCTCCGCATCATACAGCCGTTGTCATCACTCACGGTGAGGCCAGTGGCCGTCCATTCTCCTGGAGAGCACCGTCGCGTAATCCTCAGCATCTTCAGCGTCGTGGTGGCGTCCGGCCTCTCTCATCTGGCGACTTCGCTCTTGTGGTTGCCACCTCGGGTGCATGGCCGCACCCTGCTTCGCGACGAAGTCGACCTGCCTGTGGCCCTCCCACAGAGCCATCAGTACGCCGGTAGTGCGAGCTCGAGTCTGGCTCACGTGCGAAGGAATCCACTCGATATCGATTTGGTCAGCTCCGACGCTTTCGACCGCTTTCCAGAACATGACCCACAGCTCTGCGTATTGGTGACTCGAGTGGGTGCCGTACGGCCGTACGGCTGACCAGCCTGCCACCCCACAAACAGATTTGTGAAGCCTGTGACCAAGTGGAGGTGTCTCTGAGACTACTTGTGTCCGATCACCTTCGCAGCAGCACATCTTTCTGCTTTTCCCGGCGTTGTCCAACGAAAGGAGACGGGTCCAGACGCAGCGGTGATCACACCTCTCATGTTGTCAAACATGCAGAAGGCCCAGCCCGCTCTGGCTCGGATCTCACACTGTGGAAATATGCAACCACCATCAATGCACTCCACTCCACTGATCAAACCACTGACCGTACACATGTGCCACCTGATGGCGTCCTGATCAATCAAAAGGGGTAAATCATGACGAGGATCTGGGAACAGGCCCTTGCACAGCATCATGGTGCACGGATGCTCTTGTTCAAACTCCGTCTTACCCCACTTGTCCTGACCCTTCGTGACGCTCGCACATGTGCCAATCGTAGCTGTATATAAGGTGTAAGTCCGTATCTTCCTCCACGCCACAAGCAGCACACAGTGGAGAGTCATTTGCCGTTCCATTTACCTTGTTTAGTCGCGCCTGGCCGAAGGTACCTCCTGTTAGTCACGTGCGTAGGAGACCTGCACCTGTGACATTGCCTGCCGCATGCAGTTTAGCAATTGCCTTAAGCGCTGGCTCTAGGATGGGAGTTTCAACCAGCCCTTCATATCTATGTCCGTCGTTCCCATGAGCCTACGCTTGGTGAATACGTTGCCAATCTGATTCGAATTGCCAACCCCAATGCCATTGATATCCACTCGCGCTTTCGTCTCCGTGAACCACACGCTCCAACTCTCAGCTTTCCACCCAAGCCCTCCTCATTGTCATAAGTACAGCTCCAGCTGATCCTTGAACCGACTGCCACGACTTTGTGTGGTTATGTGCGTGCATGTACGCTAGCTCCATGGCCCTCGGCTTGTCCCACTGCTCCCACTTATTCAGGTTCCTGCTCGAACATAGCCAGGATGAGGATAGGGATGAGGAGAAGGAGCAGGATGCGGAGGAGGAGCAGGAGGCAGAGGAAGGTCGTCACATGTGACACCATTCGTCTTCATTCTTTGGGGAGCTCTCATAGAATTCGGTTGGGAAATCTTTCGGGCTGTCTTGGCCTCCTGTGAAGCAGTCTTGGGGGTCCCTTGGGGCCCTCTCGAGTCGTCTTGGGGCTCTCTTGGGCCGTCTTGGGAACCTCTTGGCCGTGGGTGTCTGGGGGCCGTCGTGGGGTCGTCTTGGCGCCGTCTTGGGCCGTCGAAGGGCCTTCTAAGGCCGTCTTGGGTCCCACGCGAGGCCCACCCGGGCAGTCTTGGGGCCGTCTTGGTTGCTTCTTGAGCCGTCGTGGGGTCCTTTGGGACCATCTTGGGACCCTCTTGGGGGCCTCCTGGGCCGTCTCGGGGCGACCGTGGATGCTTCTTTGGCCGTCTTCAGCTGACGGATGCCCGAACATGCGAGAATGCAGCAACCATGCAGTAGCCTAAAGAGAATCCATGATTTTGGCCCCTTCGAACCCTGATGCAGGTCCGCTTGTGGCCCCTTCGGGCCCCCTTGGAGGCATTTTGGGGAGTCTTGAAGCTATAGTCGGCCGCCTTGGGGTCACCCTTGGGCCGTCTTCGAGGCAGTCTGAGTCATCTTGGTGTCCTTGGCTGCCTGCATGGGCCGTCTGGGAAGCTCGGGACGCGTATCCAGCGTTTTTTGGAGCGCTGGATCGTGGCCTCGGGGGCGCGGCTCCATCGTTCTCTGTACGAGGGATCGTGGTTCGGGGGGGGGGGGGGTCAGGACGGTACATGCAATGCATGCAGGGAGACGCGGTTCAGGGGGGGGTCCCCTCTGAGAATGCAGACGCTCTGCCAGGCAGCCTTTGGCATTCTTCCACACCGCTATTTGCACAAGGCATGGTTGCGGATCTAGAGTTGTGGAGGACGATCAATGGAGAGGAAGCATGTTGCCAAATACTTTACAGACGTCTAGAACATGTGTTAAACATGCTTTAAATACGTAAAACACATGTTTGAAACATTTTTAGATCATGCTTTGCACAGTTCAAAGCACATTTTTAATTCAATGATCGGATTGTTAGAAGAGTGTCCATCGTCATGGCATCCACAACGCTATGTGCACAAGGCACGGTGGCGGATCTAGAGACAAGAAGCTCCGAAAAGGAACAGCTGCACGGAGGGAGGGCGGTTTCTTGTCAGCACTGGATTCCCGCTGGAGCCGCTTGCGTTGATGGGGGCGGGCCTTCCTCATCGCGGGGATCTCGCTGGACGCCTGGTTGAATTCATATGATCATGCATTTTTGCATCTCCGAGAAATCGTTGGAAGGGCATCATGCAGTTCCTTTTTAAAACGGGGCGCTCGTCTGAGATGGTATGCCTCAAGCGTCTGATCTCTCAAGGGTGCGCTCACCGCGACGAACAGCTTGTAGGGACGTGACAGGAGGGGGCTCGGGGGGGAAGGGTGTACTGCAGCACCGCATAGCATCGCTGATGCATCTTAACTTAATCCTGGCCATCCTCGACCCAGCCTGAAGCGCAACGGCTCGTCACGCCACCTCGTTCCGGGGTGCCCCCTCCGCGACCCTCTGGGGCTGGGGGCCGCCGCGCTGTCGGGGCCCGCCAAGGGGGAAACGGAGAGGGACAGAGGAAGGGGCGCCGGCCTCCTCAGGCGCCCCGCAACGAGCAGCGCCAGCCCACGGAAGGTTGTGGGGCGGAAATTCGTTCCGTTATTCCTGAGCAGCAGGTGTTTGACACGTCGGGCCTGCCGGGTCGTGCCCTGCTCTGCTCGAGTTCTGCCTCACATTCCCTGTTGAATCATCGTGTGCGCTCCCATCTTCTCCCTCCCCCAACAAGAACCAGCCCATCGAGGGTGGGTGGCCTCCATGCCTCCACGCTCGTGGGCATGGCGCGGGGGTTCCCCGGCCACTTGCAGATTTGGTGCTCGCGCTGTCAATGCTCCGCTCTCCCAAGGCTTTGCAGCGTCGTCCGCACCTTGCTGCCTGCACGCCCTCCTGTGCTCAGCTGCGTCCCTGCTCTCATGGACACTGCGCAGGCCTGACGAAAGCTTGAGAGGTCCCATCCAATGTGTCCCCCCCAAAAAAACCAGCCCATGCCTCCATGCCTCCCTGGCTCCGCCTGCGCCAGGAGGCACTGGCTGCCCCACGCTGCCGTGCGCGGCACTCGGAGCACGCCACCGCGGCACGGGCAGCCGGGCCCGCCCCAATGGGCCCCTCCTCTGCCCCAAGGGTGGGCCAGGCGGCACACGCCCGTGAGCCGTGCCCACACCAGCAGGCTCCTACTCCTCCTCGTCCTCCTCCTCCTCCTCCTCGTCGTCCTCCTCCTCCTCGTCCTCCTCCTCCTCGTCCTCCTCCTCCTCGTCGTCGTCCTCCTCCTCCTTCTTCTCCTCCTCCTCCTCTTCCCCCCCTGACCGCACCCATTGCCCGCCGCGCGATGGTCGGGCCAGTGCCGTGCCCAGAGCCTGCCCCCGCACAAGAGAGCAAGCATCGTGCAGGCTGGCGCAGACCCGAGAACCCACCTGCGCCGACCCACTGACGGGTGCCCCTCGCGGCCCCAGGAGGAGGAGGAGGAGGAGGAGGCGGAGGAGGAGGAGGAGGAGGAGGAGATGGATGCCGCGTCCCCAGCGGACCTGAGGCGGCAGGCCCTACCACAGCGTGACCACCTCTAAAATACAATGGGGGCCCATGCCAAGAAACATCCTGCTTGCCTCCAGGGTGCCCTGCGTGACGTTCCTACGCCAAAAGTCGATTGACATCCTGGGGGTCCAGGGTTGGGTTTCTTGTGGAAGGTTTCTTGTGGTCGGGCCCCCACTTTACGGGGTGCCGCCCCAGGTCCGCCATGGCACCGACGCTCCTGGCCCGCCGCGCCGCCCCCGAGCGGGCGAAACCTTGGCGGAATTCAGTTCTTCCGGAGCCCTGGCTTGCCGCTCGCGCTCAGAGGCACCCCTTCGAAGGCGTTTATTTTGGTCCTCCTCCCCCTCCCCTTCCTCCTCCTCCTCCTTCCGTAGCCATTTTGGATCAAGGTCCGTAGCATCGGTTCAGGGACCTTGGCATGTGGCGTGAGGGGTTTGCGGCCTTCGACAGCTTTATCGTACTGAGAGGTTCAGTCTCGCCAGTCACAGTCATTTCTCCTGTACTCTGTGCGCTCCTCGTGGGCGGATGGCACCTGCTCGGCCTTCTACAGGACATGCAGCCAGCCGCCAAGCGAAAGCGCACCAGTGGTACTGCAAGTGGTGTGTCAATCCAAGGGATGGCGCCAGGTGGTGGAATCATGCAGATAAGCCGTCCTGCAGCATTTGTGGCGCGGCGAAAGGTGCAGCCTATGCTGGCCCTCGTGATCCGCCAAACGGTAGCCCTTCGCAACGTGCCCCCAATCTCGTTTAGGAGAGGAGGCAGCAGGCTGATAAAGTTAAGCTCGAACAGCAGCAGAAGGCTCTCGCGGCTCAGGACAAGGATGTCGAGCGGCCTCGGAGTCTCGCAGGCGGTGGCACGGGGGGTGGGTCGGTGCAAGTACAGGCTCCCCAAACCGATGCCGCTGCCGCTTCCGATGCTGATAAGGCCAGGTTCAGCGAGATCGGTGCAGGCATTCGAGCGATCGGCGACTCCAAGGACCCGCTGCTCATCAAGTGCAAGGCCGAGATGGTCGCTGAGCACGACGCGCTCAAGGAGCGCATCATGCGTGACAAGCCAGTTGCCGTGCAGTTACACCAACTGGTCAACAGGTGCCAGGCCTTGGAGAAGAAGCGTGACCGCGAGTCTGAGCACGTCAAGGCGATCGAGCAGAACATCCAGGACCTTCAGGCGCAGCTCAGCGACGCCAGGGACGTGTTGTCGGCCACGGCGACGGAGCTGGTGGAGGCAGAGGAGCAGCGTCGCAAGGCAGCCATGTCGGTCCCACGTCCTGGGCACTCAGATGGGCCGCCGTCGCTGCGCACTGTCATCTCGGGCCTCGACATGTCGACCGACGAGGTGGGCAGGATGCTCGAGTCGCTCGGCGCCGAGCAGAGCATGTGCAACGACGTCGTCGGCATGTTCGAGCGGCTGCGCGCGTTGGACGAGGCGGCAGCTGAACGCCGTGCTCGTGAAGCTGGTGGCGCAGGCGCTGCTGACCCTGATGGCGCTGGCGGCCCTGCCCCTGCGGCTGCCGCGGCAGGTGCCCCTGCTGAGAGTGCGCCCGTTCCCATGGACGCCGATGACCTTCCCGACCTTCAGGCCTTCTTTAAGGAAGCGTTCGGATCGGGCCCACCTGAGGACGAAAGTCAGCTCAGATCGGCAACCACTCGGCGATGCAGTCGGAGCCCGCGCCAAGAAGCAGCGAGTGTCAACCGAGTGCCCGTGGCTATGTGCAGTCGTCGCTGTCGGCGCGCATCGCCCACCCCGCTCGCCCGCGGCTTGGCAGCGCTGCCATGCGGGAGTCTTGGGGCAGAGAGTACCGACCGACAGTGGTATTGGCAGCTGCGAAACACGTGGTGTTCTGGTTGATAGCTTCGCTTCAGTGCTCTCAGCGCGTGGCTACCGATCCTGTGGATGAGGGGGTGCGGCGTCTGATCAGCCGTGCGCCCGCCTTCCAGTGTTACCCGGGCTCAGACCAGAAGTTCGGCGAGCTCGAGTGTCAGGAGGGCCCCGAGGGTTCAAGTCGCACAGTGGATGAAATAGACAGTGATGCGGAGAACCTCGGGAGCAAGTCTAAAAGCAATTATGTCCGTTCTAGCTCAGTTTGCACGATCAATGCATGGACCCGTGGTCCGTTGGTCAAGCTGCTGAGCGTTCCTGATTACAGTCGAGGAGTTGTGCTGGTCCAGTGGCATCACTGTGAGAAGTCGAAGCTCCCCGACGTTCAGCACAGCTGCAAAAAAACGTGGACCTGTGCGGCATTTGGGCTCCGTCAGTTTCCACAGGCCGTGGAGGTACTGCAGGTGGCGTAGCTGTGCTGGCCCCAAAACACGTGCTGCTGACGAAAGCCCCCCATGCTCAATAATCGCATTTTATACCCTGTGCGTGCGGTGGCGGCCAAGGCCCACTGGGCTATGGCAAATGGCGTGGTCTGCATCTCGGCTTATCTCGTCGTCGGCATCGGGCTCGCAGGTGAGAATTTGAAGCTGCTTGCTGCGATCGCGAGGTACATTGCCAAGTTGAGCGTGGTAGGCCAGGAGTGGATCATAGGCGCCGACTGGAACGTGGACCCAGACTGTGGCATCGACGATTGGTTCATCGGCTTGAAGGGTATTCGTCGCAGCAGTACAGAGCCCACATGTATTCAAGCTACGCCTGGGGCCCACCGTGATTGGTTCTATGCTTCGGAAGGCTTCCCTTGCCGTATGAGCGCCCCGTCGGCTGATAGCGCTGCCGACGCCATCCCGCACTTGCCTGTGGTGGCGGCGGTGACGGGCAGACCACGTGCGATGTGCTGTCGTGTGCCCATTGAGCCCAAGCCGTTACCAGCAGCGCCGCCTGTTGGGGGTTCGCCATTTCCGCCTGTGCGTGAATGGTTGCAAGTGCAGCAGCGGCTTCGTGATGCTGACTCAGCCGAGAGCTTGGCCGAGTGCTGGGACGAAGTGCTGATTGGCCTGGAAGCTGAGCTGCTCGACAGGCACGGTGTGCGCGTTGAAGCAGAGCGTCGCCAACGTCGCGGCAACGCTGGGCCCCCCTCAGTGCAAGTGGCAGCAGCTGAAGGCGTCAGCGCCTAACCAGCCCAAGTCGCTCACTGCATGGAGATCGTTCAACCGGTGGCTACGTCATCTTTGAAGTGTGCGAGTTAAGCTCAAGTCGTGTGTGGATCAGCTCAACGGTGTTATCGAGTGTTCGCAAGGGGCTGAGGCTACCCTGTTGTGCATGAGTCGGTTGACGTATGGTCTGTTTGGATGTTCCAAGAGAGTTCGACGTGGCAGGTGGACCCGCGACTTTCTTCCAGCAGGCGCATGTGACTTCTTCGAGGGCCCGATTGCCAGCTACTGCCGTGGCGATTTCGACGCGGAGGCGCAGAGGCTCATTGGCTTGGCTGAGGAGCGCATCGCTGAAGGCATGGGCGAGTCTTCGGCCAGTTGGGTCAGGTGGGCCCAAGATGCGTTCGTCAAGGGAGCTGGCAAGGCACACCGATACTCCAAGATTCGCGAGTTGCAGGAGGTAGCCGATGACAGGGGTGAGGCGTGCCAACCGTTCGAGCGCGCGGACGAGTGCGTAGATGAGTTTCAGACCATATGGAACCGACATGGCTGCTCAGAGGTGCCGCTGCCCGCCGACGCACATGAGTGGCAGTTGCTCGAGCCTCTTACGGTCCAGCAGATTCGAGAAGCATTGCGGGGCTTCAAGTCGACGGCGCTGGGCCAGGTGAAGCTGCACCCGCGGTCGCTCGACGTGTGCTCTGACGTGGCGCTGGAGACGCTCGCGCTGCTGTGCGCCACCTGTGAGCGCCTTCTCTGCTGGCCTTGCAACAGAGTGCAGTCTCGGCAGGCTGAACAAGCCCTCTGGAGGCCATCGTCTCATCGCGCATTTGAACACTTGAGCTCGCATCTGGGGGCGGCTGCGTCGGCCGATCTCGCAAGATTGGGAAGCTCGACAGCGGCGCCCCGCATTTTGGGGGAGTGGGCCCGCCGGGAGCTCTTCCAATGCTGCCTTTGCTCAAAATGTCGAGGCGGAGGTGGCTGGTGCGGTGGGGGAGTTTTCAGTTTCAGTCCTGATCGATATGTTTAAATGCTATGAGTGCATCATAGATGCCAAGTTTCCGGAAGATGCACGTGCCCTCCAGTATCCCTTGCGTATGCTTTGGGTGGTCTTGTGTTCTTACCGTTGTCCCAGGGTCGTCCAGGCGTTCGGGTCTTTGAGCCTGTCCGTGGTCACCAACCAAAAGATTCTGGCTGGGTGCAGTCACGCCAACACGATGGTGCACCTTCTCTTGCATCGCGTTGTGGCGAGAGGTTGCGAATTGTTCTATCCCATCATACCTCGCATCTGGATGGACGACGCTAGCTTCCAGTGGATAGGCAGGGATTTGAAGCAGTCAGGGCCCTTGATGGCCGCCGTCCAGTGGTTCTCCCGCAAGGCCTACGGTTGTGGTTTCATTTTGTAGGTGGCCAACAGTGGTTTGTGGCCTCGGCGGCCCGTGCTGCGGCCAAGATCGGCTCGGCGGCTGAAATCATTCGCTTGAAAAGCCATCGGCGCATGCGAATCCTGGGCCACGAGTTTTTTTGTGATATATATATATATATATATATATATATATATATATATATATCTATAGTCTTTCTCCTTCTTTTCTCAGGCCGCCCGCTGCGCGTGCAGGAGCGCGGGCGGCTAAAGGGGGTGCTGTCTCGCAAGCGCAAGCTGCTCGCGCTGAAGCGTGGGGCCCCTGGTAAGGTCGCCGCCCTCTGGCGCGCGGGTGTGCTCCCAGCGGGCGCTCACGGCGCGGGCGTGTCTGGCGCCACCGACAGCGCCCTCATGGCCTTACGCACGCTCGCTGGCTCGCTAGTCGGTGCTAAGCGGTCAGGCTCCCTCACTGCTTGGCTAATGACGCAGCGTGATCAGTATTTCGATCCAGTGTTTGACGCTTGTGTTCCGTTGCCTTTGAGATACTGTTCCATGATTTGGGGTGGCAGAATCTCCCTGGGTCGGCTCCAGCGGGCCTGGCTTGAGATTCCGGGCCGCTCAGGACGCCCAGCCTTGGGAAGTTTGCAAGGGTCCCGTCTCAGCCGTTTTGCTGAGCTTGCGACGAGTAGGCTGGTGTATGCGGTCGGCCCGCCTTATCGAACGTGATGAGGGGCACGTGCACAACCTGCTGCGCGAGTGCCCGCGTGATGTGCGTGCTGCGCTGCGCCTCGGCATAGCTAGGTGGCAGGCCAGACGCGTGCCCCAGCGCGTCCCCGAGGCGACTGGTTCCGAGGGGATCTGGGTGAGAGGGCTTCGTCACGGTGTGCTGAAAATCTCGGACCAGAAACGCCGAGGGGCTGCGCGGTGTGTCCTGGGGCCAGCGACGTGGCCTCCTGCCCGTCGGAAAGCAGCTGGTTGCAGCAACTGCTCGGATTGCCAGTTTTGTGGCAAGAAAGACGCTGGGACACTCGGCCGCCAACTTTATGATTGCGAACCCGTGCTCGATTGCCCTCGTCAGTTCGATATCATTTCATCCTGATGACGTCGTGGAATGGAGGGGTGTGCTCCGTGCGAGAGGTGAGACTGGTCTTGGGGACCCCGACTGGGGCGCGCTTGAGCTCGCCCACTGTTTCCCCTTCAGAGGTGCAAGGTTCCCCCAGTCCCCTCGGAGCTCCCCGTCCATTCCTGGGGTCTCGCCCTTGGGCCATGGGGGCGGCGCATGTGCACCGACGGTTCGGGATTGGGGAGCTCCAGTCCAGAATTTAGACGGTGTGGATTTGCTGCGGTGGAGTTGGGCCCAAAGGGGCTCCCGATCCGTGCGGTGTTCGGGGCCCTCCCTGGGTGGCACCAGTCGGTGCCCTGGGCTGAGCGCTGCGCTCTTCTCCAAGCCCTTCGGCGAGGCCCCCCAGACGCCCAGGTAGTGTCTGATCATTTATCGGCCGTGCGCGAAGGGGCGGAGTGGCCCCCGGCCCTTGCGCAGGGCCAAGCTTTGCATGCGGACACCTGGCGCAGCATTTGTGATTTATTTCAGGGTGGCCAGGCGCGTCCCACCTTCCAGTGGATCAACGCCCGCAGAGAGTGGGACGGTATCCTGGACCTTTCCTTTGCCCAAGAGATTCAGGATTTCCTCGGTGGCCTCTGGGCAGATTTTTTCGCCAGGTTGGGGTCCGAGGGCCACGCGGTTGCCACTCCTGTAGTCGATGCTCAGAAGCAGCATCTAGCCGACATCAGGAACGACTTTGACATCCTGAGTCGGTTCGCCCAATCGGTCGCTTTGCTTTCATCGGGCCTCTCGACCCCTGATGCCCAGCCAGCGTGCGCCCCGTGGCCAAAACTGTGCTGGTGCAGCACGAACTGTCACACTTTCCTGCGACGGGCGAGTGGAGGTGCAAGCGGTGTAATTTGTGGGCGCGCACCCGCGACTCTCTGCTTCAGCTGCGCTCAGGGAGTCGGCGCCAGTGCATGCCCACTGCTGTGCAGGCGTTTCAGGCAGAGGAGTTCTTTCAGGCCCACGGGGCCAGTGCCGCGCCTGTCAGGTCGGAGGCGGTGCAGGAAGCGTTGTCGTTTGCCAGTGTTGTCCTGGGGCCCGCTCCTGTGCCTCCACCACCTCAGCCTGAGGCGTATAGCCACTGGAGAGATCTCGGCCGCGCCGTTGAGCGAGAGGGCCGGGTGCTTTGTTGCTCCCTGTGCGGTGCTCACTTGATCTTGCCCGATGGGCGTGCGCGTGGGCTTAGCCTCCGATGTAACGGGCGCAGTGTCCACGCGAGTGCCCGATCGAGCCAAGCCCTGAAGATAAAATATGCTTCGCGTGGCCTCCACCCTCGGACTGGGCAGCGACTGGAACCCCTCAGCGCTGCCCAGCCTGTCGACCCGCCCGCCCCTGCTGCCGCCGCCAGTGCAGCAGCACCGTCCTGCCCGCAGGCTCCCGCTCGCGTCGCCGCTGCCCTCCGACTGGAGGAGGCGGCCCTGTCTGGAGGGGAGCTGGGTGGGGATTTCGGGGAGGAGTCGGGATCGGACTGATGCAACTCGTTTTGCTTTCAGTTTTTGGGGAGGGGGGCCTGCCAGGGGCGGAGGAGTGCCGCCTATGCAAAGCCGCTCCAATGCCTGACAAAATGTGACGGCCCCCCCATCCAGTATTGTCCGCCTGGCCGTGCTAGCGAGGAGCGCCACCTGGCTGGTAGCCAGGCCGTGCTCTCCCTTCCTGTTCGGCCTGCCCGCTCGTCACAGACTTGTGCGCGTCGGCCACGAGCCCTCGAGCCCTCGATCCCTCCTCCTCCTCCTCCTCCTCCTCCTCCTCCTCCTCCTCCTCCTCCTCCTCCTCCTCCCTCCCTCCTCCTCCTCCTCCTCCTCCTAGTCTCCTCCTCCTCCTCCTCCTCCTCCTCCTCTCCTCCTCCTCCTCCTCCGCCGCCTCCTCCTCCTCCTCCTCCTCCCACTCTCCCCCTGTTCCTCCTCCTCCTCCTCCTCCTCCTCCTCCTCCTCCTCCTCCTCCTCCTCCCCCTCTACCCTCCTCCCCCTCCCCGTCCATCAACCCCCGCCCTCCCGCCTCCGCCTCCTGCTCCTCCTCCTCCTCCTCCTCCTCCTCCTCTTCCTCCTCCACGTTGTTTTATTTCACGCGCGCGCGTGTGCACTTCGTTACACAT